AGAAACTCAGGGACCTACCGAGGACCCTCTCCTCTCACAGGAAAAGCCTGGCCTGAAGTCCGCAGAGGGGCACAGCGAGGGTCCCCGCGGGCCGAGGCTAAGAACGCCGTGTTACCTAGTTGGAGCCCAGCCAAGAGCCCAGGGCCCCGAGCCACCGGCCGAGGTTTAATTAGCGTGGGGTCCGGGACACTGGTTTTACGGCTCACCTGACGGCCAGGCCCCTCCCCCTCCGCCACCAGCTCCGTGAGGCCGGCCTGAGGAGGGCCTGGCGGCCACTGAGAGCCAAACTCAGAGGGACCCCACAGGAGGGACACCTGCCACGTCCTCCCACGCAGTCCTCGGGTTGGGGGCCCCTGACGGCTCACGGCCCAGCTGCCCTCCCAGCCACACGCAGCCCCAGGCGGACGGCTTCAACGAGGCGAGCACGGCGTTGTGGAGTGACGGTGCAGGGCACAGAGGGACAGCATGGGTGGGGGTATGACCTACATGGAGTCCGGGGACCCGGGGACCCAACAGACACCACAAGAGCCCCCGCCGTGCACGGCAGGCACCTCGAAGCCAGTGGTGGGTGCACGGCGCGGGTGGCCTGGCCTCTACGACCATTCACAGGCCTTCTGACCCCAACGTGTCACAAGTGGGGCCACCTCCTGGCCCCCAGCTCTGGAGCACGTTCCCCTGCCTGGAGGGGGCTCAGCTCTTCCGTGCTTCTCCCCGGGACGCTGCCCAGACACCCACCGAGTGCCCGGTGCCACCAGCAAAGCATCCCTTCACGTCAGACTCAGGCGGCCCCACCCAGGGGCAGGACCTGCGTTTCCTCAGACGTCGTGTTTGTCGCGGGCTCTGTTCCCGTGAAGGGTCAGCAGCCGGCCACCCTGCCCAGAGGAACCCTCCAGAGAGGAGGCAGGACTCCAGGCACGGGCGGGGCCGCATTCCACAGGGAGGGACCTCCCGGGAGGCACAGGCCACAGGCTGCAGGTAAACAGCCGGGGGGTGGGGCGCCCAGGAACAGAGTTTAGGGACCGGGCCCCACGCGGCGCCCCCACCCACCTCTGCGAGGACGGGGTTTGGCAACAACCCCCACCGGGGCCACTCGGAGCTCGGGGGCCTGGCCCGGGAAGGGGCCCCAGGGAGGGGCGAGCTGACAACACGACGTCCCCCGGCCGGCGGCTGGCACACGGGGGGGTTGGCGGGCTAGAGCCCCCCGGGTGGGTCTCCGCACGGGCCAGCCCCGTCCAGGGCCCTCGGCACGTCCTCAGGTCACCACCCTCCCGAGTCCCCACCGCCGAGACTTCTCAGGGACCAGCAGGACATCCTCCAGCCACAGGAAAAGGGGCTCCGCGCGGAGCAGGGCAGACCAGGTGGCCAGGGGCCTGCGCCGGGCGCCCACGTGGAGACCTGGCCCTGGTGGTTCCCTGTGCCCCGCGGGTTCTTTCCTGGACGGCCAACTCGCACCCCACAGGTCAGGCGGCCCCTCGGGCGCAGGCCCCGGGCTGAGAACGGGCCGGCAGCTCAGGCCGGGGCGAGTGACACCTGTGACACCCGGAGCTCCGGCTTAGGGTGCCAAGCGGATGTGGCCCGTGGGGTGGGTGGTCCCGGGCCGGCGGGACCTGCTTCCTCCATGACCCACTGGCACTTCACCCAGAGGGCGGGGGCCGCAGCTGTGACCCTGCCCTCCACGTGACTGAGGGTCTGACGAGGTGCGTGGGGGGAGGGGGTCAGCCGTGGGGCCTCTCCTGAGGGTGAGGGGCTGCAGGAACCAGAGTCCTAACACCCAAGGGGGTCCTGCCCCCCCGGTCGCGGCGCCGGTTGTCCGAGTGTGCAGAGAGGCCCCGGGTCTCGGACAAGTCCCAACGCCCTCCAGCTGGCTGACCCCAGGGTCCAGAGGCCTCTCGGGCTGAGCAGACTACAGCAGACAGGGTTTGATGGCGAGCTCCGGGCGAACGGAGACTCCGCAGGCGCCGCACCCCCCACCGCCCCGGATCCCGGGCTCGTTGATGACTGACCTGCCCCTACAGGGGTGCCCGACATCACCAGGGCCACCCCACACAGGGGACCGCGAGCCGTGCACCTGTCCCTGGGCCACCCGGCGCCTCACACGGGCAGAACTCACCACCCAGCAGAGACTGCCAGATGGGGGGCCGCTCCCCTGGTCTCGACAACAGCCCCCCCGGAGCCGCTGAGGCCCGGTCCTCCGTGCGGATGCCAGAGGGGACCATGGAGCTCCAGGAGACAGGGCGGCAAGGGTCCACACCCGCCACAGACCCCAAATAATAAACACACTCGACCCGGCCCATCGTGTGTCAGGCTGTCATGAGCCCAGTGACGTGCCGAGGGCACGGGAGCCAGAGCGCCGCCTCCAGAGCGCCGTCCCCAGGGGCCCAGTCTCCTGGGGACGATGGTGGACACAAAGGAACAATGAATGAGTCAATGAGAACAAGTCTCGTGGGAGCCAGCAGGGAGGGGCTGCTGGGACTGGCCTCCAGGAAGCCCTCCCCTTGGGGGCAGGGGGGACCCGGGCCCGGAGATCCCACACAGGATGATCCAGTGCAAAGGCCCTGGGGTGACCACGCTCACAGGAGACCCAGAGGAGGGCAGCATAGCACCCCAGGAGACCGCGTCCTCCCACAGCCCCAACCAAGGCGGCCGTGTTTTCCTATCAGGTCCTCATCGGGCCAACACTTAGCATAACCCATCTAGAGAGTGGGGGTCCTTAAGGTAGGGGTCCCAGTGCAGGTTCTCAAGCTCGCCAGGTCACGAGGGGCCGGGCCCCGTGGTCGGTGCTGGATCAGAGTCTCTGGGGACTGGGACGCGCCCCACAGACCCAAAGCCCGCGCTCCAGAAAGTGCCTGGTGAACTGAAGGAGCCAGGGTGTCCTTCCTCCAACCCAGGAATGTGACTGCATCACAACCCGGAGGCCGTCCTGTCTTCTGAGGCAGCACCCAACCTCACAGCGTGACCTGGGAGCACCCTTCAAGGACAATGACCTTCTGCTCCCTGCATGCTGGGGTCCCTTATCCTCTGGCCTCCGGCCGCTCTCCTGCGAGTGCCTTCTCCCCACAAGCCCCAGGACGGCATCCACTGCACGGACGGCCGCCGCAGCCAGGCCCACGGACAGCCCGGGCTTCGGAGGAGTCTCTGGGCGGCTTACCACCTTCCGGAGGCCACGCCAGCCTTTCCAGATGTGGGGGTCCATGTTGGGCCGACCAGGTACCCGCATCTCCTCCCCAGCTCTGGGCCCAGGACCCAGGGTTGGGGCACTGACTCAGAGCCCCACCCCGTGACTCAGCCAGCCCACGGCACCCCGAGTCTCAGCCTGTCCGGCGTGGCTTGCACACACGGCCGCAGAGTCCGGTTGGCCCTGCTGGGGGGGCCCTTCCCGGCAGGAGAGAGGAATGCCTTCTGGCCACCTCCTGTTGGCAGGCAGGGGTGGGGGGCGGGGTGGCTGGCCAGGTGAGAGGCGGGGGACGCAGGCCCTTCGGAGCCCGGCCCTCCCCGGGGCTGAGGGAACTTGGGGGGGTGGGCAGCACCGGAGGCTGAGGAAGGGGGCTGTCGTCACGTCTGTGTACTTCAGCAGGGGACCATGTCAGGTCCTGGCTCCACCCCCTCCGCTCTGTCCCCCGGTGTCCCCTTTGTGAAATGCGGCACCGACGGGCATTTGTGCCGTGACCACCTTTCTGCCCAGCCGACGCCTGCCCAGCTCAGGGCCTGTCTCCAGAAGGCACCACCCCAGTGAGCGAGTGCCGGGCCCGAGGCGACCCTGATATGTTATCTGCTCCCTGGATCAGGCAGGGAGGTCAGGGACTGTGCCTGCTGTCAGGGCGCCTGGCGATGTGACGAGACACACACGCGCCATGCGCAAAGCAGCACACCTGTGCGGTCGAGTGCCCGGTCGGGAGGGTTGGGACCGGGCCTCGGGGGCCGGGCGTGTGGTGGTTTCCGCCTCAGCCTGGCCAAGCTGCGGGGAAGGTTTGCCTTCCGAGGATTCACGTTGAAACCCGCGAACCCTAAGAGCAGCCCGTGACCCTCCGGGAGCCAACCGGAGCCAACCGGATGAAAGCCGTAAGAGCACAGAGCAGGCCCCTGGGAAAGAAGGCGTTCTCCAGGGCTGCCCTGTGGAATGCGGACTGGGGATTGCCACTTCCTCTCTTGCCCGAATTCCCAGCCGGCCGCGTGCCCCACGGCCGCGCCAGCCAGTTCCCGGAGCAAACGTGCTCTTCTCTCGCGTGTCTGCGCGTGGGCACATCGGTGCTCCTGCGGGATGTCGCATCCGTCTGCGTCCCACTGGTTCCCGTTCCTCTGACGGACCCACCTGGTACTGACGGTCAGCACCTGTCTCTGCAGTCCGGGCCCAGGTGGCCGCAGGCTTGGGAGGACAGGGTGCCGGGGCCCCAGGAGCTCTCTGGAAATTCAACAAGCTCGTGAAATGACCGAGGGAAAAATCAACACGGTCCGCTCATAACAACCGGCCCGGCCCCACCCCCAGGAAGCCAGCCTCCGGAGCAGGGACCCAGCCCCCACTGCCCCGAGCATCCAGGCACAGGACGCGAGCAGTGGGGCTCTCCCCGGCCGGAACCCGGGCCGCAAACACTCCCTTGAGTCGCCTGCATCGTGAGGTGTGTCCGCAGAGAAGCGCCCAAGTTCCGTGCCTCCCGCCAGCGCGGGGTCCACAGGGTGGGCGGCGCGGAGTACGGGGCCCGTGGCTCATTTCCCTGCGATCCTCTCCCTCCGCCAGCAAAAACACGCTTGGGATTCAGGATATCCTTCCAGAAAGAGCCACTTTGGAGCTCCAGAATCCCATCGGGGTCATTTCCAAGGGGACATTCCTGCAGCCATCTGGGGCCGGAGAGAACAAAAGCACACTGGCCGAGGGGCGGGGGCCCGAGCTCCCGAGGGGCCAGATGCCAGAGGCCCCGGGGGAAGCGATGGGCGTCCCTGGAACCCCCTGCCCCTCCCCCATCCGTACGCCAGATCCCCGCCAAGCGCCAAGCACGGTGTGTGCCAGCAGCTCGGCCGAGGCAGGGCTGGCCTCCCCACACAAGCCCTTGGTGGAGGGAGGCCCCACTGCGGCCCGCTCACGGGGGAGGGAAGTCACAAGCCAAGGCCCCTCAGACAGTGAGTGACAGCACCAGGCGGGACCGGGCCCTCCTGGCCTAGCTGCAGACCGCCCGTCAGGGCCCGGCTCCCCCGCTGCACGCGAGACGGCCGTGCCCTCAGCCCCGGCCCGGCTCCCCCCCACCCCCGCCTCAGTTCAACGGGCCCCCAGACCGAGGCCTGAAGTTCCGTGCGGTCGTGGGGCAGGGCCCGGGGCCGGTCAGTGTCACCGCCCCGCCAGCCTCGGACGGCGGTCACCACCGGCTCCCGGTGACGGAGTACACTCCCCAGACGAGAGGAGAAACGATTAAGTGGCCACTTTGAGAGCAGACGGCGCAGCTCCCCATGCCCTGGGGGACACAGCGGGTGGGGACGGGGCAGGCCTGGCTGAAGCTATATGTTCAGTTCCTGGAAAACGAGGGACACGCTGCCGGCTCGCCCACGGCATCCTGTTTTTATGGAAACTAATCTAATTCCGAACGGCGCAGCAAGCAGCGGCCATGCAAGGGGGTCCCGAGAGGCCACGGCGAAGGGGCGCCCGCAAGGCGGGAGGGCTCCCGTGGCCCCGCGCGGTGGGCACGGCCGCCCTCTGCCAGCGCCACACCCGAGGGTCAGATACCCCCGCCCCGGGGGAGGCCGGGGACGGCGGGTCCTTCCTGGCAGTGAGAAAGAAGCAGGC